ACGGGACGTCCCGACCCCGCGGGAGCAACTGGAGTCACGTCGGGACTCTCATGGTGCTGGCCCGGCAACACCTTCTGCATGATGGGCTTGTGCTGGCTGTCCCCGAACAGCCGAGACATCTCTCCAGTCTCGTTCGTAATTAGGATTACAAAGGTGCGCTATCAATGCCTCCGCCTGGCCGCCAGCGCTCCGCAGCAGGGTAAAACTCGCAGTCCCGCCAGAGTTACCGGCGGGACTTCAGGGCGCAGTGATTACCAGGAGCTGCCGACAGCCCCCCCACGGCGGGCTGCGGGGTTTCCCCGCTCCCGGTCGCCCCGTTCCCGCCTCATCCCACGCCGCGGTAAGAGCAGGACAGGAGGCAAAGGGCAGACGATGGTGAGGAACATGGCACCTGCGGTGCTATCCAAGGGCTCCCGGCGTGGCCAAAATCCACGGGAGGCACCTCTGCTGCGCCTCCGGGACGCACCGGACACCCTGCTGCCCCCAGTGCCCCTCAGAAGGGGCAGCGCGGCTGGGCGATGGAACGTAAGGGAACAAAACACATGCCCCTCCAGGCAATGCCGCCTGTCCTTCGCACTGTTTAATCTCTGCGTATTTGTAAACTTGGCTGCATCGTTTGTTTTGCAGGTTTTATGGCCTTCCAAGCTCCTCTCGGGAGGATGAAGCTGAGTGGCTGCCCCGCGGTGTTAGCCGTATTCAGGGAGGGGGGTGCCTGCTTTTTGAAAAGCTGCTGTTAGAAACTATTAGAGCTGAGAGCTCACTGTACCTGAACGAAAGCAAACAGCAGAGTAAAGCTGTAAGAAAGCAGCTTACTTCTGCCCAGGACCGCTGAGGGAGCCAGTGCTGAGCCACTCTGGTTGCCTGAATGTGCAACTGGCCAGCCCTCAGCATGCGACCCCATCTGCCTGCAATGAGGGCCAAGTCACTTGTACTGCTGTTGCCGTGGGCCTGGAGAAATTCTGGAAGTCCTTTAATTATCTCCAAGGCTACTCCACTTTTCACAGGCCCAGGTCCTGCTCTGGTAGCCTCCAAATACCAGTGCCAGACTTGTTTGGTCCCGCAGGGCGGTCAGCAAGTGGCTAAATTGCAAATCAAGCCCTGCACACCTGGCAGGCCCAGGACAGGACTGCAGAGAGCACAGGGCCGAGTGAGACTGCAGCTCATGAGGTCCATCGGTTCCAAACTCTGGGCAGGAGTCAGGACTCATCTTCCAGACTGCAAACTCCTCTGCCTCCATAAAATGCTTAAACTGTAGAGTGCCAATCCCTTAACTAACATGGGCACCACAGAGCAGTGATTACCCCAAACTGGCTAATTTTTCAAGCAGGGCAATTATTGATCCCCAGAGAGGTGTGCTTTGCATCTCATTTTTAATCACTTTTTGTGCTGCGTAAAAAGAGGCAAGAAGTAGGGGATTGCTGCTGGGAATGATGCTGGGAAGAGTCTGTTCCCTCTGCCTGACACTCTCAGGAAACTTTTTTCCATCCTAGTAGAAGTTACAGCCTGGGAAACAGCACTGTGTTAATCTCAATGAAGACAAATTGACTCCATACCTCAGCTATAAAGGGAAAATGCTATGTTTCTTTGTCCTCTCAACTGCCTAAAGACTGTATAATCTGATATCCATTTGCCCCACATAGGATTTGGAAGAGAGGGGCCCCACTTTCTGCACCTAACCCCAAATAACCCAAACCCTTTCCACTTGCAGACTATGCTTGGCTGCTCCAAGGGTCACAAAAAACCTAAAGACTTTTATTAAATACTCACCAGGTTATACACAGAAAGGTCGAGAGCCAACACCTCAAATTGCTTTTTCTGTCCCCTGGAGTGACTTATGCAACAGCCATTCCCCTCAGAAATTACAGAAACCTCTTCCCTGTCCCGAGTGAAACTTGAAATCCCAGAAGTACAGCAAGTCTCTCCACTCCTTGCTCCATCTTTAGGCTTCTTCCACCAGTTTAGTGAGGATTTCTGCTCCCTCTGAGGTAATCACCAGGGTATGCTCAAATTGTGCCGATCTGAAATTCACATTTAGCAGTTATGAGGGGGAATACACATTCACCATGCCTAGAAAATCATCTCTTTGGGCTGGCAGTGATGAGTTCCATGTCTTAGGAAATACCAAAAAAATAAAATCAGGCACCTTTTATTGTCTACAGAAATTGCAGTCCATTTGTCCTCCAGAATCTTAAATTCAGGGGATCCTTCCATTATTATTGGCTCTGTATCAAGAAAAACAAAATGTATTCTAAAGTTAGTTGCACTCCTGTGTGGATTATGAAACAATCAAGAACAGGAGGTATCTCAGCAGGTAGCTCCCCATCCACACAGGTCCCATCTCCCTGGGCTGGCATTCTCTTGATACACTAAAATGTGAACTAAAAAGGAAGACAAAATAGCAAGGTAGGAAGTTGCCCATTCCTCTTTTGTAAAAACATGGAATTTTAATCAAGCTTTAATTAAGACCGTGTGGATAATAACCAAAGCACCAACCACATTTATAAACAACAGATAGTTTTAAATATTTGAATTTTTTAAACAGGCTTAAAATGTTCATTAAATCAGCAAAACAACAATTTTCTTATTTCCTTCTAATTGCCGTGCCATTTAGCCACACAGTGAGAACGAAGGCTTTTCCCCCAGCACTTCTCCACGACTGGAAGTGAGCACCATCAGTCTGCGGGGCGAGGCTCCGGCTGGTTACCGCCGCCGCAGTCCCTAAACCCAACAGCAGCTCGAGAAGGCAGCAAATGACTAAGTGCCACCAGGCTGCTCTGCTTCGGGGACACGATCGCATCCTTCTCACCCTCCTCAAATTAAGTGTGCTGGCAGAGTCTCTGCCTTGCCAGAAATAGGAGTCAAATATTAGCAAAATTTATAATTAACATTTCATTCTTTAAATCTTGTAATTTGAAAATTATTTAATCCAGCTAGTTCCTAATGCATTTTTTAAAATGATACTTTAATCTATTTCCTAAGAGGTCAATCTCACCGACGTCCCCCTGTCTGCACGGTTATTTCTATATCCCAATAAAGAAATGTTACAGATCTGGGCTGCTTCGTGTGTGCTTTTTAACAGAAAGCCATAGCAGAGAGTTACTAACCTATTGTGAACGCCATTCCCTCTTCCATTAACAAATCACTGTCATTGGCTACAAAAGAAAAAAAAAAAAACCCGCGTTTATGCATCTTGGGTATTTTTTTTTTTTTAAGAGAACGCAAACAAGCCCTTTGTTTAAACCCCTTTTTAGCTCGCAGGTACTGTGCACCCGAGCCCCGTTATGAGCCGGAGCACCCGCCGAAAGCGATCCCACCCCGGCCGCAGTGAGACCACCCCGACGGCGGCTCCGTCCAGGCCGGGAGCTTTAACGTTTTAGCAGGGATTTTTAGCAGGGATTTCTCCTTGCCCCGTGACAAACTTTGCCGGCGTGGCTCGGGCGCGGGCGGGATGCGGAGGCGCGGGACAGGGCGGCTGCGGCCCGGAGCGGGCGGGGCAGGCGGTGCGCGGCGCTCAGCTGCCCCGGCAACTCCGCTAACCAGCGGCTCGTCCTCATAAATACCCCCGCGACCTCAGAAAACGGGGTCGGGGATGTCCTCCAGCTTTCCAGCGATTTAATCTCCCCACCGGCAATCCCCCGACCCGCCGGACCGGCAGCGTGCGTGAGCGTGAGCGTGAGCGTGTGCGTGTGTGTGTGGATGTGTGTGGGGGGCTCTGCTCGCTTTACCGCCCGCCCTCCCCCTCCCCGGAGCCCTCTCATCGCCCGGGCGGAGCGGGGCGGGGGAAGACGGGCCCGGCGGGTGGGGGCCGCTTACCGTGGTGCCACACTTCGGGGTGCCCGTGAAAGTACGACCCGATGCCGTGGCCGACGAAGAAGGGACAGACCTGGAAGCCACCTTGCCATGCCAGGGAGCTGCGGGGGCAAAGAGGACCTGTCAGGGTGCGTGGCCTCACCACCAGCCCCGCTAGACGGCCCCAGCCCTGCTACCGCGTTGCTACCGACCCTGGGTCACCACTTTGCCAGCGTTCCGAAAGACAGGCATTGAAGGGAGCATGGCTGAGCCATTGTTAGGTTTCAGAGTGAACACGCCTGCCAACAGAGGCTGGTGGTTCCCGTGCCAGCCCTCTAAGTAAAACAGCAGTGTGTTGTCTCCCTGCTCGATGGAGGGTAACCTCTTCCACAAGCACACTGAGAACTCATTTTAAGATGGCACAGATGAAGTTGGCAAGTTGGGCAGACGAAGCCTCAGCACAATACCAAACCACAGCCTTTGCCGAGTTCTCTGGAAGTGCAGTGTCTGTGCTGGGCTGCATACCCAGGGGACTGCACTGGGTTTCCTGCAGAAGGGGCTCCTGCTGCCAACAGGGAGAGTTAGGAGCCTTACTACTTTGCTTTCATAATACTTCAAACATTTAGTATAAAAACCTATTGAAAGTTCAGCAAATAGATGTATGCTAAATAACAATGTATTTCTAATGAATCTATTGCCACAGAGGCAAAACCAAATCATAACAATTACAGTGTTTCAGTTCTGCCTGAGATCTGGCCTGCCTTTCATGGCCTGCCTCAGGGAGAAGCATCTCTGAGAACTGCCTCCAGGACCATGGCTGAGCACTGATCCCTACCCATGGTAGGAAAGAAAATTCCTCTCCCAGTTCCCCGAAACTGGAGGACTTGGAGATACATGGCTGCTGGCCCACCCCATGTCTGCAGGCTTCACTTTTCAGGGTCACCCTGTACTCAAGCAGTGGTGGACACAGTGATTGAGGCAGCTCAGCCAAGAGGCTCGTTTCCAAACCAGAAAAATGCAGAGATTCACAAAGATCTGGAGATGGATTAGAAGTGTCAAGAAAGTTACCTTTGTCCCTGCATGTCACCTCCATCCTATTTCTAAAATCAAACAGGAGCAAGAAAGGAACACACTTAGCCTGAAGACATTTTGCCTATAACATTAAAAGCTTAATTTGCTTCTTTATGAATGAAGGTAGGCCCTGAAGAACTTCAAGTTGTCTGTATTTATGTCTTAGGAAATGCTGTCTCACAGTTTCACTACAGGTGGAAAGCTGGAAAAGTTAGAAAACTCAACTAAAGGTAAAGCTGTTGCAGAAATTAAAGCCTGTTAATCCCCATGGGGTAGCTTTTATTCAGGTGCAAAGTGGCCTCAGCTTGCTGTACAAAGTAATCACCTTTGCACACCAGGCTCCACAGACTCTGCAGTGCTGGCTCCAGTGCCCATGGGTCATTGTCCCAGAATTTAATGCCACTCAATTGAGGGACATGCTGCTCCACCACAGTTAAACGGCAATGAGAGAGTAGAGTTGGTTAATGCTGCAGTGTTCAGACTTTGGAAGATGTTTTAACAGGATTCGTTACTTTCTACCCTTTTATTGCTCTGATAAAAAGACTCATCATATTTCTTCATTAGCTCTGGAGAAGAATAGAAATTTCAGGTTTACGGACCCCCAAACTCCAAAGTACTGGCAAAGAGGATTACCGATAAAGCTAGAAATTGGGCCCTAATTTGCTTGCACTCAAAAGTCCAGGCTTTATAAATAATTTATGTATACATAAACTTTATACATCAATTATTTTGAAAAGAAATCACAAAGGATTATGCAATGGGAAGGCCTACTAGAGATGGAAAATACTTTCTCTCCTGCCTTTCTATCATGTTCCCCATATCTGGGTCAGAGACTTGGCCTGCTGGCTCTGATGCCGCTGAAGGTCAAGCAAGAAGTACAGGGAATGGTGATGAGTTAGAAAGCCAGATTCCTCAGAAACATACACAAAATCCAAGATCTCCAGTGACCAAGCCTAGAGCAATGCAGATGATGATTCCCATATGAGTGAAGTGATTCTCCAAGGAGAGATGGGAGAAGTCATTCATGCAACATTCATGCAACATATGATAAAGTATTCTTTCATCTTCTTCTGCTAGTCTTTTGGCAAAATCATAAACAATCACACTAACTGTTCAGCTTTGCTAATGTCCTTACATGGTATGCTGACCAAGGACAGAGCATGGTAATTTTTTGTATTACTACTGGATTTTTTCTTCCAGAAAAATCCATGTTCTGTAGCAAAACAGAAATAGTTTTTTCTCTGCGCATGTATTCTTCTGAGCACCATGGCTACATACTTTGCAGTGAGCAGGGGAAGCTCCAGCCTCAGCATTCAGCTGCTGCCAAGGAGGGTGGCAGTAGCAGCAGGAGCTGTGTGTTGGGCACCAAGCACACAAGCACCAGGGCACACAGAGGGCAGTGTTACAACAGTATCCTGTCCTCATGCAGTCAAAGTAATGATTCATATGCATCTCAATGGTGAATTCTACCACTTTCTTGCCAAACAGCTTGAGAACAATTCTGTTAGCATTAGTACTTCAGTGGTTACTGTCTGTGATCAAAGAGAGGATCCCAGAGCTCACAGGGCTTTGACATCTACACTGACAGACACTGTGCCCCTCCTTCTTCCCTCTTGTTTACATCCAGAGCCTTGGTATTCTCTACATAAAATGTAACACGGTCAACAGACCTGCAGTAACACACAGAAAATAAGCTGCAGGTATGAAATTCAACCATTTTCAATCTGGTTTTAGTATTTGCATGCACTTCAGGCATTTCTCTCCACAACTACTAGCTTTACTTTGGAGTATTTAATAAATCCTAGTGTACTCTTACTTCCTTTGGGAGTTACAGTAAAACACCCAGCTTTCATAACAAAACAAAGCTGCTAATCCTAGCTACAACTTGCAAAGGTAATCCTGTAAATGTACATGTTGGCTGTAACCTTGAGACAGCTCTGAGAAGAGTGAATTGAACTATTGGTCTTGGTTAGCCTCTCCAGTCTCCAGGATTCCCAAGCTGTGGAATCTGATTAAAAAAATCAAGATGCCAGAGAGCAGAGCATTTTTGCACACAATTTACCATTTCTTGCTGACAACAGCTCAACATTTTGGTCTCACTGTCTCACTGCCCAGCTCAGGACCTGTCAGTGGTGGTCTTTCTTTGCAGCTGCCTCATGAGACAATCTTACAAAATTGCAGCTCCAGCTTCATCAGATGCTTCTTGCAGACAGGCAGAGTAAGCTTAGACAGCTGGAGGAGGCCTGACTGCAAGTGGGAAAGCAGTGAAGGCAGGAGGCAGAGGGTGGCATGGCTGAGCTGGGCTGCCTGGCATCTGCTGTAGGAAAGGATGTGCTAGTTCCCCTTGGAATGGGGAACATCCCAGCAAATCATCTTCAGAGCAAATGCTGGGGCAGCAGAGGTACACCTCACAAGACAGAATCAAGAGGAAAAAAAGCTTCTTCAGAATAATCACTGCTAAAAATACCCATTGACAACATTTATTATCACACATATTGATCTTTGTTGCATATTCGGGCAGAGGTGAATTGGGCAGGATTAAAAGCATAATTATTTAGTGAGCCCAGTACTTGATTTTATGTTTTTCTGCCATGTGTTCTAGCCCAGTGGCTGAGGAGTCAAGAGAGCTGCAGTGCTGCCTTTCTTTTGCTGATGGCAAAGCCAGGCCAAGTGTCTGGCACTGGCACGGATCAGCAGTAAAGGAACATCACTGAGGGCCAAGCAATCCTCCTGAAGCCATTGTCAGAGCCTGTCATAGGGTGGTGTTGTGCTTCAGAGAGTGGAGACAGGAGAGATAGGTGTCAGTTGCCATCTGAGCATCCTCTTCCCATGTTGCCAGACAACAGCTAATTCTCTGAAAGCAGGGATAAGTGTGGAGACATGCATTGCTGTCCTGACAGCAGCCTAACAGGGAAATTGCCACAAAGGAGGAACAGGCAGGACTGACTCTCTAGAAAGCTTTCCCCTATACTCAAGCTTCCCCTCAAAGGAGCTCTTGGGTGATAAATCCCTCCTGTTAAGCTGAAAAGCAGGTTGAAAGAATTTCCTTGGGGATCTGTACTCTGAGATAACCTGTAGGTGCACCTAGAGAAGCATTTTCCTTTTTTTACCAAATTTTGTCACTTTTTCCTCAGGGTAGGTCTGGTCTAGTATTCTTAGAACTCACTGAAGAGAAAAAAAAAAAGTGAAACAATCCCATTTTCAGCATTGATAGCTACTGCTTCTCTGGGCTCTGTGGTGGCACAAGGGAAGAAAGAATTTGACTGACTGGAGAAGATGGCACAGACTGCTTTGCTGCCAAGGACAAGTACCCTGGTGAACTGATCCTCAGCCAGGGATCCTTCTCCCACACTGCCAGCTTCTCTTACCAGGGATGAAACCTTATCCAAAACAGTCCTTCAGAGCAGCATGACATGAATGGCAGAAGTTGTTAAACAAATTTGTCTTACACTTCTTGGCAGTGAAAATACATGAGAAACACTGAAACTGGTAACAGCCCCATGATAATTGTGTTCTTATGTAGGGATCTGATTTTTTTTTTAATTAGAAGTAATCATGTTTGTCTTAGCTATATTAGTAGCAAAACGGCCACTGAATGGCATACTTGTTTTTTTTTAGTATTGAAACCAGACTCATCCTAAACTTTATTTATTTATGATAAAAACCTATTTTGAATAGTACCATAGTAGTTAATTTGAGAAATTACAAAATTCTACAGGGAAAATATTCAAGTAGGGTTTTTTTCTGAAATAGTAATCCTAGACTGAGGGAATGCACAAGTTCAGGGATTCCCTATAATGACAATAAATGTTGAGGTATAATTAGTAATATTTTTGAAAGCCAACAATTGTTTTTTGAAAGAAAGGTACATTTTAGTTTCAAACTGGAACACAAATTACTGTATTTTTCTTACAATAGTGCTGAACTTTTATTTGAGGTTCTCCGTTTCTGAAAGCAGACATGATGGATTGAAATAAAAGATAATTTATTGCAATGCTTACTTTCAAGTGCAGAGAGAAGCAGTGTAATTGTAATTTACAGTAGCTGTCAAGGAAAATCTATCACAGATGACATTAAAATGACTTATTTTGCCTGAGCCACTTATTGTTTAAATGTGCATAATCTGATAGAAACAGATTTTTTTAAAAATCTGCTTTATATTGTTCTAAATTAATATCAAAACATATACTTACTAGTTAAACATTTTAAGCCATTTATTAATACTTTCATCACTACTATTTTTTTGTAGGAGTTGAAATTTGGTTTATTTAACGACATCACTTTTAAGTTCTTTAGCTCTCTACACTCATAACACTTTCATGCACTTAGACTCACTGTCTAAAAAGCAGATTTCAAACTGGATACATTTTTGTCTGAAAATGTCAGAAACGGTAGAAGAGAATGGACCATAGGGACCAATTTCATTTACACTGGAACTGACCAATAGTTTTGATACGTCTTCCAGTAGAAAGAGGTTAGCAATGACTCAAATTTTTCTAAGCAAAGTAACTCACGAATCCATGCAATCTTTTATTTGCAACTTGTAGCCGATGGAAGAATGAGCTGCTATCAAGGAAATACTCAGTGTCAGCTATTGAGCTTCCATGACAAAGACTATGCCAGAATATTGACTGCAAACTTACTCCGAGATATAATTACTCTGAAACCTACTGTAGAAAGGAAATATTCTCATTATTTGTGCATAAGACGCATTCTGGATATGACTGGAGCACCTTTACAGAAAAACTGATGAAAGAAATATAGACACATTTCCATTCTGATGGACCTACATGTTTTCAGCTTCTGGGTTAGGTGCTTGTTCTCAGGCATTTATAGTATCTAATTCTTGTGAAACTTGATATATATATATATATATATATATATATGTATTATATGTCTGTCTGTAAGCAAATGTCAAATGACAAATAACCTGAAACACACAGCTTCACCAAGCCAAGGTGAGCTTTCAGCAAAGGGAGTGTTACAGTAGTTCTAAACAAATCAGCACATTTAAATCGCCAACACGATAAAATCTTGAGAAATGAAGTTAATGACCTGCTATTTCATATGCAGTTTTGAATAGCTACTAGCTTCAATTAATCTGCCTTGCAAAGGGGACACTGACTATGTATTTACATTTTGCAAGGAAACTGACCTCTGCAACAACACAGCAAAAATCCAATGTCACATTCAACTCTGTTATTTTTCTTCTTCTTCCTTTTTTTTTTTTAAAAAAAAAAACCAGCTAGAATTAATGTAGTGAATCTGTAATGAAATGCATTATCCTGCATGGAGATTTATCAGATTTTCCAACTGAATGCCATGCTTTGCTAGCACTAGCTGGAGTTCACCTGCGTGTTGGTGTGGCGTGTGGCTCTTTTTTGTAAAGAGTTAAGTTGAACACAAAAAAAGGGAACAAAGGTCAGCACCCAGCCGCCACTTGAATGTGAGATTTTTCTTTTTATTCCCCTTGATGTATACTAGGCTCTGTGTTATTAGTCTTAATGATGGAAAATTGTAGTGTTGATACAAATCTTTTTTTCAAAGTAGTAGGCGGGAGCTCCATTTGTTAGTAAGTTTTTTTGTGACTAAAAGCCATGGACAGTACATTTATGTAGCAGTAAAAGGCCTAGATGCTCTTTCCATAGCAGAGCTAATTATTCCTACTGTGACCTTACTGATCTACCCTGTTCCTAGTACATCTCATCTGCACGCCTGTTCCTCTGTGTAGATGGTGTCAGAGAATATGAAAAACCCTATAATGAAACCATTTTCATGATGGAGAAAGGCTACTGGAGTTGCACTTGCTACAAAGAGGCTCAATTATATGAGTAATTGTGATAATTTTCTACATTCATAGCCTTCAATGGGGAAAAAAGAATGAGAGCCACAAAAGAAAATTACTTTAACAAGAAAGTACAGAGAGTAAAAATGGAAGAAGAGACAAAAAAGGGGGAAAAAATAACCAGAAAAAAAAGTTTAAAAAATAGATCTGGAGGGAGGAATAGCAAGACAGGGAGAACAACAGAAATGCTCAAAAAGCCTATGTGCAGCTGTGTTGCACAATTAAATTGAATTTTTTTTCTGCAGTTGATGAATGTGACTACTGCAAATGTGCCTCTGTAGTTAGCTATCATTTGTTGTTCCGTGACAGGAAAAGGATAATTACCTCTCAGAGAGAATCAAAGGCTGACATGCCCTTTAGACACAGCCATGAATGCAGAGCTCGATAGAATGCTTGAATAAGAATCCAGTGTTCTGTGCCCCCTTCTACTCAAGAATAAATTTTGTTAAAATGCAAGAGCACCACCAGTAAATTTGTTGAACCCTAGGTGTTCAAAAATATGAGGTGCATCTATCGACTCATCCCATTTGCAAAAATAAAACTACATTTTGAATTCACTTCTATTATATTCATGGACAGTAAGATAGTGAGATATGCATTAAATTTCTTTTCCCAGTAGGGGTCTGATTCAACATTTCCTATGAAAGAACAGAAAGACACTATCCTTTTTCTCCAGGCTAGTTAGCCTATAATTTAAAACTGTCAAAAACACAATTTTATACAAAGTCTTCAATAAAAGCTTCTCAGATATAACCCAAAGAGGTTTTACTAAAGTTTGATTCAGACTCTGTTACAATATTTTTAAAGCTATAAATACATCTAACTGATATTTTGCTGTTCTCTTTTTTTCTTAAAGTATTTGAAGATTTACAAAGGGAAAAAAAGGCAGCATCCTTTCAAGGTGACTAAGCCTTGCAGCTTTTAAGTAATCAGAATGAATTCAATAGCTTGTTGGGACCATTAGCAGTCCGAAGAAGTATTGCTTAATGAAATGTATATGATATATGTCTATTCCTTTCTTTTGGCAAACATTTTAAAATAATCCATAGGTATCTTCAAAAAATGAAGCCGCATTTTTATTTAAAGCCATCAGCAGAAGAGTCATGACTGCATTTATGTGAAGGCTAGAAGAGATGCAAAATAGGGAAAAATCTCTGAATGTCAGCCCTTTTTTCCCTATGACGTTAGCAGGCACTGCTCTTTGTAAGATCAGAAGCTCTCGAGTTAAATATTTTCGTAGTTTTTAAACAAAGAGCTTATTTACGTTGACTAATTCCTTTGTAACAGTCAATGAAAACAATGGTTTCTAACTGTCTTACACCGTTAGACAGATGTGGTGTAGTGTCATACACAAATAAAAAATAAACAAAAGCCCACTGCAAATCATATCTGTTAATTTAAATTTACTTTATGAATATCTTTTTCTTTTTCTACAGTTATCTTTGCTGACCCTAGTGTAATTCACTTAAAAAAAAATACCTCTTATCCAAGGAACAACATTATAGCTTGGCAGTTCACATACTGATATCAGACTGAAATGATGGTTTTGAATCATAAAACATGTCATCAGCTTTATACCAAACCACCAATAACCTTTGTCCCATTTGCCAGCCCTCCTTTTACTTGTCAATATAAGGCTTACCTGATTGTGTTTCCAATTACAGAGAAGGGAGCCCCTGGTCTGCAAGCTGCAATTGCTTCATCTCTACATTTCCTGGCAACATCCACTAACTTTTCACCAGATTTATCCACATTGCCCACCAAAAAGGTTTCAGAAGTGTCACCATGGTAGCCATTGTAATACACCTAAACATATACAGAAATGCAAAGACATTTTCTCATTTTGCATCCAGAAACAAACCATTGTCTTAATTTAATCCATTCTTTCTAGGAACAAGCTATAAATTGCAACAGATAGACAGGTAAGTCGTATTTGCAAGACTGGAAAAGCAAAACATTGCAAAGGAAAAAAAAAAAAGCTTGAAAGACTGCAAGGTGCCTAAGGGTTGCCATTGCTGCCAATTAAAAATTCAAGAATAGCAGAAGCTGTGCATCAGTGCCCAGCAGTGCACCAGGCAGTAACACTGCTCAGCCACAGGCCATGAGGATTACTGGGAGAAGATGGGTGGGGGCCATGGATGGGCTGAGGGGGCCTTGGGGGCTGTTGGGTCCCACCCATGGCGGCCCCTTGCCCTGCAGCCAGGGACCTGCTTGCGCCCCGAGGGGCAGGGCCTGAGCCCAGCGCTGGGGGAACCGGCTGGTGGCTGCCAGGAGTGAGTGTCTGCAGGGAGCAGCCCCCCTTGGAGCTCTGAGTGAGAGCCATGCCCTGCTACCAACAGCCAGAGTGACCCCCAGGACCAAATCCACTCTCAGCTGTTGCATGTTTTCTTTAACCTAATTTTTAAGCTACAATTAACATTAACATTGAATTTTACTTTTGATTTCCAGAGGTGAATTTTGAGAGAATAAATGTACTGCCATGGCACTGAAAAATTTCATGTTCTGAAAATGGAACATGCTGTTGAATTAATTACAAATTGTTTTTTTTCCTTTCCTTTGAAATGTCATAGGTTTTAAATGTTAGCCTCCTGAAATTCTCTGTTGAGCACAAGAAATCCTGGCTATGCACTATGGAGCTCTGCAACACACCATTAAAATGGGGTTTGCAGCTCTGCACAGGGCAGGCAGGCCCATAATTGTAAGACCAAGCCATATTTCCCTACAAAAAGACAAATTATAATGGTGCACAGTTTTGATCTTCTAAAACATTTTTTCTCCCCCAAACAGTGGGCAACTATCCTTCTACAACTAATTACTCACCGAGCTCGAACCACTGAACTTTTGCCACTGGCAAGCTATTTGTGAAAGACAGACTCACATTCTTTTTGGTTGATTCCAAACTAAAAAAAAAAACCCATAACCCCAAAAACCCCACAATACAGACAGTTTATTTCAAGGCCAGGTTTGTCTTCAAGCTGAGATACAAAGAAAATGCAGGCCATTAGGAAAAAGGGGTATTTTAAAGAAAGGTGAGTGCCAGCAAGGGCCCAACTGTGTTGCTACTGCTCTGGCAAAAAGCAGCTGCAATCCTCTTCTCTACACCTTCCTCAGCCAGTTCAGACTACCATAAAATAATTTTTATTTTTTATTTAATACCTATTGGGCAGGTTTTAAAGTAGATAGTTCATATTTAGACTAAACTAGTTTGTTTTTAGCTCTGAAGGAAAACACACAAACTCCCAACATTAAGCATCATAATCCTGGAAAAGCAAACACAGATAAAACACGGGAGAGTTAAAAAAAAAACAAACCACAAACAACAACAACAACAACAAAAAAAACCAACAACAAACCAAATAATAATATTTACTGCAGCCCATCAGCTGCAATTACATATTTCTGATGTTAATAAACTACAACCACAGCAAATGTAATATACTATTTCCTTAAATTCAGTGAAAGAACCAAGTTGTAAGAAACATTAATCTGGTAACAATAGGCTGAAAATTGCAGTATGCTGAGGATCCAGCAATGGATAACACTATTGTCTCTATACTAAAACACATTTTCAAGTCCACATTTCAAGCCTATAAAATTTGTATTTCATCTATGAAATGCTACCATCTTAATTGCGCTAAAATGGATTTTTTTGTTCAGATAATCTGTACACAGTGCTAGGTATTTAAACTTAACAACCTGAGTATTATTTAATTACTTTATAGAACCTGTACACAATTATAAACAATTTGTTGTGCAATATTTACTTTGATTTTTATTCTGTCCAGCAGTGAAATGTCCCAGTTTTGCACATTAAAAATAAGCTAAAAGATCAGTTAATAATGCTGAAAAGTGGTATTTTTTCCTCAGCTGTTTTGGACTAAGCAATTATCACACATAGCACAGTTTAGTTTTAAATGATTAAAAAAAAATTCTTACAAAGACAGTCAGCAATTCCCATCCTGGCAGGAATCTTTATATTCACAGAAATGTCAAGATTTATTTTCTGAGATTAAATAAAAAACAAATAAATATATGTGTGCAAAAAGACCAGTAACATTTAGTCAGACATTTGTAAAGCGGAGTGGACAAGACATACACACTATTTTAATATAAAAATTATTTCATTTAGTTTATCATGGGAAGTATCTGTGATATGACTCTATACTTCTTTTACATCTAAGGTATCATTATTATCCTGACAGACTGAACAAAAAGTAAAATGAACCTTAAGGAGGTACAAAGAAATATGATTTAAATCCTTAGTTGTTGCAAACTGGTTTAGTACAATAAACTGAGCAAAGTGACACCAGTTCATAAAAGTTAAAATGAAGGCCAAAAATAAAGTTTTAAAATGCTAGATTGCACTGTGTAAACCTGATAGTCCGAATTCTACAATTAGAAAGTACAGAGATGGGAAAGAATTTAAAAAGATCAAAACCCCAAGCCAAACCAAATCCAGTTCTGGATCACATATGAGTATAGAATGGGAAAAAGGTCGTTGACCCTTATTTTAATAGAAAAAATATTTTAGAAAGCTTGAATCTCATGCTCAGAGGTAGGTCTGCTGAAGATTTCTTCACTCTGCCTGTATGAACATGGTATCAGGTTACCAATAGGTTCTTTAATGATTTAAAAACCTTGTTTTTATGATATTCTACTTCCTTGTATGTGACATATTATTGCAAAATAATGGAGTAATTTAAAAAAAATCTGTGTCCATACTAGAAATAAACAGCACTTCAGAAAAATAAAAACATGCACAGGAAAAAGAAAAAAAAACTCCTGCAAGACACACATTTTTTTTTAAATGAAATGAGAATTAGGTTTCCAGGTCCTGTGCTTTCTTGCTCCTAGGAAAACCCAGCCTGTGTTTATTTAAATGGCTATAATTGATGATTCCCTGGAAATATTAAGTCACAGTTATATCACACTATTTCTGTTTCTGCTCAAAAGGTTCAGGGCTTCCATACAGAAATGGAACACAACACTACCTTCGGGGATTTTAATAAATGTAGGGAACACTGCTAGCAAAAGAGTTGCTGTCCAAATAGACTGACATACCCAGGCCAATGCAGCCTCTAATGACAGAGTAAGATAATGTCAGGCCCCACTCAAAATCAGCAGGAAGAGGAAGATCAATCTTGGCAGAGTGAAGGAAAAATGCTGGCTTTCTTCATGTTAGCTCATCTCATACATATCTATCTTCAGCTGCTGCCCAGTACTGTGGTGCTCTGCATTAACTACACAGTGGATCAATAACAATTACACCTTCTCAAAAACATGACACATAGCAGGATTGGGTTGACATTTCACTTAGGCCAACATTGATCTCAGTGCATCTGATTCCAGTCCTAAATTCAAGTCAGGCCTGAGTCTAGCTGGAATAAACACACAGTTAAAAACAAAAAAGGAAACCAGCTGCTTGTGCCTTGGCTCAGAAGTAAACAGCACATCCATCTGTGCATCCCCCATCTCCAATCCACTATTCTTCCTGTTGCTACTAGTGATTCTAAAGTTGATCAAAGACTATTTTTTATATGAATTACTCACCGTGACATCAATGTTGATAATATCTCCATCCTGAAGAGGTCGACTGAAACATAAACAGAAAAAAAAAAAAATGGTGACAGACAGTTCCCAACAAAGGGAATATAAGAATAAACACCTAATGACACATACATAAAAAATCAAGGGGTAGATATTTTGTGATGGAGGAAGGCAGAAGCAAACAGAATAACCATTTTTAATGTTCAGCTCTGACTATTTAGAGAACAAGTGTAGCTGAATATAAAATAATGAGAAACAACTACCAGAAAAACATATCAACACCTGAAAAATCTACCATTATATTTATTCTTTTTCTCTCACTAGGGTTCATATTTTACTTTGTGAGCAGCTGAATGTATTGAGAATATAAAAAAATCCCACATAAATTCAAATATATTTATTCCTTAGCCTATACTTATTTTGCTGGATGAACAAAAAATCAGACCATTTTTTTCCCCTCACAAACACAAAACTCAAAATGCAATACGCTATTTTTCTTTAAGTGTCTGGAAAACCAGGATAATATATTTTTTTCCTATTTCACATATATTTCTGTAACAGCTATCAGCATCACAGGCTAACATGCTCTGCATCTACAATGCATTTAAGTACGACATTTAGTTAAGCTGAAGTATACTCAATATTAAATACAATTTATTAATTCCAGTATAACATTTTAATTTCCACTTGTAAAATGTACATTATTGAGGAAATACCTGTCAGGAATACCATGACATACCACGTTGTTTACAGAGGTACAAACAGATTTTGGAAAACCTCCATAGCCTAGAGGTGATGGATAGGCATTCCGTCTGATTATTTCATGATGAACAATGGAATCTATTTCTTCAGTTGTCATGCCAACCTAAAATATCAAACATAACATCCTGTTAGAAAAGCAAAGAGAGTTTCTCATATTTACTGAATGTGATTGCAGCCAAGCTTCAATGAAATATTGGGTGTTTCAAATATGCTGCTTTGATACAAGACTATACTGTCTGGTACACTTTATTGATATATGGACTTTTTTTTTTTCTGAAAAACCCTCTGAAAAAGAGATTTTAAATAAAGCATGCAGTAGAAATAAGCACTCAAAGGTTCCTAGAAAACCTAAAATCCTGTCTACTTCTTTTCTGTTCTTTTTTCCATATCTACTTTCTCAAAGACACCAATTTCCCATGTCATCGTTTCAGTAGCTGCTATAGAAATGTCTTGTTTCAACGCTTTCAGTCCCTTAAAACACAACATTACTTTCCTCTTTTATCTGTAAAAGAAAGGATATTAAGTCTTGTAATTGCCCAGTACATTTATCATGTATTTAAGCATTTTTAGGAAATTGCTTTCCAGGTATTCCTAAATTTTATAAAACATTGAAATATTTAGATGCAAATTTTAAGGATATTTTACTTAAAGTTGTCATAGCCTGGATGATCGTAATGAATCTACAAGTACTGACCATCATTTTTAGAAATCTTCATTTTTATGCTTGATGTTTTCTAGATTCATATTTTCTGCGTGATTTTACATATTAAAAAAACCCTCTCATGAACCAGTGAGCCATTTTCTGGGTGTCCATGGAGTGCAAAGTGCACATGCTTAAAATAATATTACTCTTGCTTTTCTTTTGGATCAGTTCTGTCTCTGGAATGGTTCGAGCTGAAATTTGGTAGGGAACCCTCTCTAATTGAGAAGTACTTTTGAGGGTTCCTCTGTAAATTGATTTTGCTTTGAATGAGTTCCGAGCCTTTGAAAATCATACTTTGTACAGATACAAGTATCATTCTTAGCACACTGAAGGAAATGTCACAGTGGCTGTGATTTGGAAGGAACATGTGGAATACAGGTAGGCTGTGGTGCAGGAGACAGTTACATATTGAAATTCAGCGTGGCCATGCACAGCCAACACAGAAGAGTGCACTTGTGTGCTGTGCTGAGGATAAAACCAGCTCTGTTTACTCAGCTGAATTTTGCTCAGCACAGAAACATTGTTGGGCAGGTGAGGAGCAATGAACGTGGGTTCAAGACCAGGATTTGGGATTAGTGCACATGCTCCCTGTTTTGCAGCCACAGCCTTGGCAGGCTCTCTGGATTGGATAGGGCATCTGTTGGTTCTGGATAAATACAGATTTGTTGCTTCTGCCTCTGCTCAAACATCTTCATCTTTAGCCCACAGACAAACTGAACTGCTATGTACCTGACTGGCTGCTGTCTACTGCTTGTCTGCTCAAGCAATTTGATGTGATTTTTGGATACTCAGGAGACAGATCTCTGGTCTCTGCATGGCTTAGACTGTGCAAAGTTCTTTTAACAGTATGTGCTTTAATTTAAAGATACTTTTGCTAGCTGGGCAAGTCAGGGGTGGCACCTGCTGTGCCCCTAATCCCTTACTCAGAACCGGACAATTCAATGGTATAGAATAAAATATTTTCATGTCATAGAATCTGTGGTTTTATTCCCAAATCTGTAACTCAAACTCAGGAAAGCTATCATATATAATACTGTATCATAATTTGAAATCCCACAGGTGGTAATGGCAACATCAAAACCACATTCAAACTCTATCTCTCTGTATCCATGGATTATAATGCACCTTTGTTATATTGGGGGATCTTAACTGCCACCAGCTAAAGCACAGGCAAGAGCCAGTTTGGAGGACTGTGAACAAGGTGGGTTCAGCAAGATAGCAGGAACAAGTGGAGGAATGGGACTCTTCAAGTAAAACAGGAATGTAGAGTTTAACTTATGAGACTAGGCTAAAAGAGCTTGGTTTGTTCAGTCTGGTGCACAGCTCTATTCTTGCATGAAGGGGAAGATTCACAGAAAGGCAGGAAGTTGTTTAAATTAAAGAGCAGTGTTGGCACAAGAACAGATGGGCATAAACTGACCACAGGCAGCAACAGGCTGGAAAGCAGAAGATGCTCACTGTCAATTAGGGAGGGTTTTGGAGCATCCTCCCAGTCAGTGGAGTCTTGAACAAACTTGAGTAAAATGGAGCTCAGCACCAGTCTGTGACTGACCTGAGCCGTGGTTTTAGCACTGCAACTCCAAATATCAGCTCTCCCTTGTACACAGGTCCTGGTTGTGTAATTATTACCTTGTACACCTTTTGGCTCCAAAGCATTCATTATGCATGAGTAGTATTTTGCTATTGTATATGATTTAGCTCATATTATGAACTGCATCATAAACTACACCAGACTGCATACATGTGTATTTACACATGAATACAACAAAAGAGTATTTGTGGAAAAAATGCTCTCATTCAAAACCCACATTCCATCCTGATCCTTTGGAAACATGTATATGCCTTTAACTTTAAATGAGTACATTTTATTGTGCTGAAAAACAATTGAACATTAAAAAGTTAAACATGCACCAGGCTATGTAAGATTAAAGCTTCAGGCAATTTTGTTATTTGCTATTCCAGCTCCAGAACTACACCTTTGTGAAAGAGTGATGATAGCTGAAAGAAAAATCCCCTTTTAAGTCAATGGCATTGACCTACAGTCCCCATCTATCTCTGCATCTCATAGCTACTCAACCCATTTCACCTTATCCAATATGCTATTACATGAAATACCAAGGCAAGGCTAAAAAAGCATTTCTTCATCTGCAAAACCTGGTAGTAGACTCCTCCCTCCACATTTTTTCTTGGGAGGTATCCTAAAAAGCATACTGTAGGAACATTTCTGGAAATCATGAGGTTTTACTATCAATGCACTCTGGAAAATTGTGTAGAATTTGGCAGCTGTTTTTCCTGTGGCAGCTCTATGAGGGGCACTGGAGCCACAGGACAGTGAGGGCTGAAGGATGGATGGGAATGGAGAAGGCAGACCAAGTGTGGGCTTGTACACATGCAGAGCTGGAAAACATGACATATGAGGTAGATGGGCCATTAAATGAAAGGAAAAAATGTAGCATGTGCCCTAGGAGAAACTCACATGATTTGACACAATCTGAAGAGAGGGAGATGACAAACACAGAGATATTACACCTGAGCCAGTAACTATGCACTACATAGGTCCAAAGTACAGAAATAATTAAACAGGCATATCATGAACTGAATCAAAGGTTAATAAATCCTTATTTTTTCAGAATCAAACTTAAAGTTGGATGCACATAATAGGAAAGTTAAAAGAACAAAAAAGTAGGAACAAAACCCAAATAAGTGAAAGCATAAAAAACAGCCAAGCTGTTCTGGGACCTCTGTAATTGTTACCTTTAAGCCCTTTCCAGCCAGAAGCAGGACATGACGGGCCAACTGACAGGCTTGACGAAGCCCTTGAATCTGATCTTCATTCTTAATTTCTATGTCGTCTCCCCAGTCTGGTACAACGCCTGTCGTCACATAGTCTGGCTTCTTTATGTGCTTGGAGAAAAAGGATTGAAAATGAAGATCAGAAAACTGAGCATGACAATGGGATCATTTTCTCAGATATTGCCTCCTGCTTCATGGCAGCTTGCCCTTTCTGTCGTGGTATCGACCTTCCTAAGCCATCAGGGCAAACCCTCAAGGCTGCCTCAGTATTTCTTCCACTGCCCTTTTGAACTTAACATTGCCTGTTACTACTGACTTACACAGTCTGTTAGCCTTCCAGTGCTGAAACCCCAGATACTGCAGCTGACTTCCAGCACAGACAGTCTCAAGTTAAGAAACTGGGAGAAAGACTTTAAAACTCCTCATTTTCTTTAGCAAAGATGGGCATTTTCTACAAAAGGCATCTAAACACTGGAAGTGATGGGGCAAACATACATAATTACTCTCAAAATTAAACCTGATCAAATCCTGTGTTTCTCATTCAAACAAAATACCTATTGAAAAATCCATGAGATTGCTTTTTGACTAAGAACCTTAGGATTTAAATGATTTTAATTTAGAGGCTTTTACACATTAATCTAGTTCATATGCTGCATCTAAAATTGTCCATCTACAACATTATACAAAGGTATCCCAATTTGCTGTCAAGGGAAATGTAGTAAACCTCATTTTTTCCACACAAGAACTTCTCAGCCCTTGTAAGAGGTGAAATTTGATTTTTTTTTTAAATCCACATCAATTTAACAATGTTTATAAACATGAAAGCTAATAAGAACAGTAATGTCTTGCACAGAGTTGGAAATGCACTTTCTGCCAGAGGGTCCTGGGCTGTTTCACTGGCTGTGGAGAATCCCTTTGCCCATGACAGCCAGACTGATTTTCTGCCATGCCGGCCACAGGATGAGTTTTGCACTGACTTCACAAAGTACACAGTCAAACTGGCAGGCAGAAAACAAAGTAGGCATTTTGGCTGTGCACAAAACAACCATACAACAACAGGGTGTAGGAGTAACAAAGAGTGGGGCAACTGATGAACTCTATTGGGACTTGAAATAGGAAGGCTACTGTTACTGTTACAGGTATTTTATGTCCAATCTGATAAAAATGATGAAATTATCTTCAACAAACTTATGTCAACAGAATTTCAGATCCCATTTCTTTAAAATGAATGCCATAACAACTGTAACAACATCCTATTGCAGTAGTTTGGGCTTTAGTCCAAAAAAAGCCAACCAAAACAATGCCATTTGTTAGATTAGCAACTCCACACACAGCATCACCCTCGCTGTCCCCTTGGAGGGCACTCACCTATTAACTGAGACATGATACTACTGACCTCTAAGAACTGTGAAGGGAGAAGCCCAAAGCAGAGTACATACAAATGTCCATGTGGACAGTTTCACACCAACATCTTCAAAAACACCTTTATTTCAAAAAAACACTGTTATTTCAATGTGATTTTTGCCATACTCTGAATAAAAGTAAAAACTGCCCTCAGCTTTTCAGAGTTCATAAATGTGGACTGATTTTTAGATGTCCGAGAACTCTGATCTGGGAAGACAACTTTTCATTATGACAATGTATTTCTTCCTCTTTATCCTAAAAGAAGCATCTAAATACAGAAAATAAAGTTTTAAAATTCTATGATTTAAGAGCTTCCACAGTCTCTTAGGGCTAAGAGCCCTACTTCCATCATTCTTATCTCTTTTCCTATCTAACAACTTTTTAGTATATCTGGCTCATGGAAATGTCCTATATTTGGCATAAGAAATCTATATTAAAATGCAGAACAGAATTGTATAAAGTACTAATGCACATCCTGAGAAGCACTGTTTAGAAAGGGTATTTTGGTTTCCTTTGGCAAAAGGAAAGATACTAAACAGTTAATCTGTATGCTGTAATTAAACAGGGGGAAAAAAGAAACGGAAAAAAAAGGAAACAAGAAGTGGAGCACATGTTAAATTTGCATTTGCATCAAAAAGTCCCTTTTGGCTTTAAAGTAAATAAAACCAAAAATATATGTTGCAAGGAATAAGAACACTCAGGCACAAAAAAGACAAATTTAAAACATGCAGCAGGGTTGTGGGACAACTACCAGCAGGTATTGTACGTTCTTTTTCTGACATAACCAAATAATAAAACCATCAGCAAAATATAAGCATTTTATAATTAGCTTGCTAGGGATTTATACAGAAGGGGGACTTAGAGGATCATGAATGGTTCCTACACTTCTGGTAAGACAGTCTACCATTGCTTCAAACAAGAATCCGGACCCAGAATTGTTGACAGATGATTATAATACTCCCATTTATTCTACTATAACTAAACAAGCCCCAGGTTTGAACTCCCCCATAACTAAATACATCACTGTGTTTAACATGGAAGACAGCTGGACATCAGCTCTCCTATTTCAAATACCAGACCAAGCAACAGGACAGTGATCCAACCCCCAGCTGTTGGACAACAAATACACTTGATCATGACTGCAATCAAACTCTACACTGGCTGAAGAACAGATTAGGTAACAGAAATTGCAATACCTTAGGAACTTGGTGAGCTGGAGAAACCATGGCTGGCCAAACTACGCTATAAGCAGCATTTCTTTGTCCCTGAAAGAAGAAGCATCTTTGCTGATGATTGCTTGAGTGCCTGTGCAGGTAGTTATGATTGCACAAAGAAAAGATGATGTGGCAGCCAGTCACAGAACCTGTTAACAGATAAATTAAAAATATTAACATTTTTACAAAATGGAAAGTATGCAAAAAGAAGGGCATAATGTAAAACAGAGCACAGAAGTCATGTAGTTGCTGAGGGTAATTCAAATCTTGTACCATTTAAGAAAGAGTAGAAAGAACAAGTAGAAATTGAGAAAAAAAACCTTTCCCAAACAGTAATTTGGAGCTTAATAAAATATCAAATCTGTTTTGGCTTAATGCATTAAAAAGCAGTGTGGGTAAATTCCCCACACTTTACAGACAGGAGTGATGCTCTAACTGGCCTCTGCTTGGAGCAATTTGCAGGCCTGCACTGTCCAAGGCTTGGCAAAGCAATTGATAACACACAACAGCAGGAAAAGAGAAGACAAAAAAAGGAAGATTTAATGTTACTTCATACAATATTTTCAGCTGTATTCTTGCAGAATTGGTCACAGATTTCAGCATAACAAAGATAATGTTGCTCTTTGTCTTGTTGCTCAAGACACAAAGAATAGTTCATTTTGGTCGGGGGGCAACAGAAGAAACTTCAGGAGATATTTTTATCTTGGCCAGAAGTAATTGAAGGGATTAAAAGTGCAATTTATATGGAGTATTTGAATCAGATTTCCATTTAATTCACATGGGCATTTGGAAAGTTTCTTAGCTCAAACTTAGTTGTTGGGCAATGACAAATTTTGCCCCCAGAAAAAAAAAGGAAAAAAGGAAAAAAAAAACAGAAAAAAGAAAAAAAAGGGAAAAGAAAGGGCAATTGAGGCCCAAAGGCTCTCAGAGACATCAAAACCAAAATAATGCACCACAAAAGACAATGCTAGCATCAAAACCAGGAGATTCAAAAGGATTATTGACACTGCCCAATTACATTACAATTACACACAGTGTGTATTTCCACTGCTCAAATGTTCTACAATATAAACAGGGTTTTTCTCCTGAAACACAAGTTTACCATAACAGTTGATCTGCTTCTGAAAAATGTCATTATGCATACAAATACAAGAGCAATCTTGTGGCAAGTAATCCAGATGAACAATTATTCTTCAGTAAAAAGTTTTTATTTAAACAGAAGCAACTAAACATTTCTATATCACAGAAATTAAGAAATTAATCTACTGCGTATTTTGTAACTATGTAAAAATGTTTATTTCCAGAAGACTTTGTTTCACATCTTGCATGTTTTTTATTCTATTGTACCTTCCTTCCTTTCCTTTGGATGCATTTATCATGTTCAGATGCAGAAATTATCCTTCCACATGTGCAATCTTTCAAAGAGAGCCCTTTTACTCCATGACATATAGAAGATTTGAGTCATGCTCAGTTTGGAGCCCCAAACCCAGACTGAAAGAGTCTCATCGGGTTTGCATTAGAAATGTTTCTGACTGTCTCTTTGCACTGATCAGGGTCACATTTAGGTACCAATGTCTGAAAAGTTAAAGCCTAGATGTAGAAACTTTTACTCAAGACAATTTTTACTGGGTTGTTTTTGTCTGTTTGTTTGTTTTGTTGTTGGGTTTTTTTTGGTGGGGGTGGTGGGTTTTTTGTTTGTATTGTTTGGGGTTTTAGCTTGGTAGGATGGTTGGTTTGTTTGTTTGGTTTGTTGACAAATAACAAAGTGAAGCTGAAGGGTGAGGTTCACCTCAAGCTCTCAGTATAGCCTAAACACCCAATGGAAGCTGCCTGCTTCAAAAGAGAAGAAAGTGTCTCCAAGGAAGTGGAGCTGCTCAGTTAACAGAGGGCTGGATTGATGTGGCAGCCTATTAACTGTAACTAGGATTTAAACAGCAGACTCATGATCTGCTTTCCTAGAGTCTCCTTCACAAGAAAAAAAATATCATTGTCCAATTAACAAAAATCACCCAAATATACAAAAAAAACCCCAGAAAGGGTCACCTAAACTGCAACTGTAAGCATGTCCTAAAAGCCCAAAGCATCCTACAAACTCCCTGTCTGGTTTGTACTCATTTCTGGAATTTGGAAGCACAGAATCTGCCAAGGCAGCAACTTTAGGACCATCAGAAAGAGCAACCACTCTGACAGTGTAAGCCAAGGTGCCTCTTTTACAAACTGCAGTTGAAGTACCTTGCTTTTAGATACTACAAATATATTGAAATCCCACACTCACTGATGTGGTTAGCTAAAGTCCACATGGACATCAGTATGTGAACATGTATTTTAAATGCTCTCCTTGATGCCCAGAATGCTCCCCGGACACCTTGTAGATTGTATCACAATTTAACTGGGGAAGAAAAGGTGCAAGCGTGCTTATCAATTATTCCCAATAAGCTCCCCCAAATACACACTCTTAAATACATTAAACCATATTCATGGGTGCATGTCTATCCACTAGCTCACATTCAGAAGGGATACCTTCTTATTCTGAATAAAATTTTTACCTCTTTTCTCCCAAAGATACACTGCAAGTGTTGTCACAAAATAACAGGATAATAAGGTACTGTAGCCTGTTGTTATTCTACTAACTACTCATTATAAACCAGATGCATACAAAACTATCTACTACTTGAACAGATGAAATGAGACAAGCAAGTAAGTATCACCATTCTAAAATACAATTCCTAAATTATGTTACAAGAATTATAAACACAGGGCAACTAAACCTTTATTTGAAATATAAAAAATTATAAGAGAAAACATTCTCCTACAAAGTAAAAATAAAATTAAATAAAATGGCATTAAAATACAATGAAGTTACTGGTCTGTAATGAAAATCTGGACTCCATCCACACACTTCCTTCCTTAAGAAGGCCTTCTAATGCCTCCATAGTGCCTTTTATTTTTCAAGCTCCGTATTCCCAGCTAATTTGATTTAGCAACATCATCAATCACCTGAGACAGGAACAACTGTCTGTATTCTCCAAGTCTGGCTCAGAGATTCCCTCCTCCCTACCCCTTACACCCATCAAAGCTTTTCTCAGTGCCTTTATTTACTTCTGCAACACTGGTGCTCAAGCACATCCTTTTGTTAAGCTTTCTGTGTATACTAATTACTGTAAGACAGTTCATACACATGGCTTTTGTGCATCTTCCAGCAGAAACTGCAGCCACAGCAGAGCATGGTGTGTGAAGCTGGCTAGGCTGGTAACACACCAGCACAGCCAGGACACAAAGTCGACCCTTTAGGTGTTTATTTGCTTATCCTGCACCCCAAGAGCAAGGCCAGGCCACCTGGCAGGAGCAATAGAATACTGACTATGATCTGCACTAAGAGAATGATCAGCAGCATTCCTGAGTGCCATCAGCAGCTGGGATGCACGGAGCACAGACAGTCCCTGCCAACGGCTCCGCAGTGAATCCCTCGGCGCGATCGTGTGCCCGCCCGAGCCGCTGCATTCCCCAGCACACCTTCCACACCTGCCTCTGCAGCAACAGTGGCAAGATGCACTGTGAGCTCCTCTGAATTACCAGATGAATTTATCTTGTGTGGAAATTACATTTCTTTTCCTTTTAAACAAGTCAGAGCAGAGTCAGTCAGAGCAGCTGAATATGGCATTTTAGAATTATGATGGGTGGGAGCATTTTTAAGTGACTGATTTTGCAGCACAGTGTGCCCTATATTTATTAGCCTTTTACTCTAGGGCTATTTTAATTGTTATCTGTTCATGCATGTTACACTATATAATGAAATGCTCTCATTTCACTCCTAGAGTGGAGAGTTTTTTATGTGTATCTCTATTAATGACCCTTAATTAAGTTGATTTTAGTAATTTAAATGTGATTTTCCTCTGGTCAAGAAGTATTTTTAACGGGAGATGTTGAGAATGAACTCTCACATAAGCCCTTTTCTAATGCTTCCTGTTTAACAGTTACAGCAATTTATCAAGCTATGTTTCCAATGAATGAAGTGTGGGGTAGCTGGGCAAAAACCTGTTCATTTACATGAGTCATCAAATGTGATTGTTAGCAACCTTTTTTTGGTATTTATTAATGAAAGATTTAAATTTTCCAAGCAATTAACAAAAATATTACCAATGGATAAACTTCATGACAGTTCTGAGCTACAATAAATACAAGGGTGCCTCTTAAAAAAGACAAGAAATAAATTAACATATTTTTAAATAATTTAGTCACAGCATCACAGAAGCAGAGTACCAAAATTATTTAAGATTAAAAGAATTAACATTCAAAACTATTTAGGAAATAAAATCAACTTGCTCTTGATAAAGTTAACAACATCAAAAGCATTGTTCTGACAACTCTTCTCAAATTATGTGATTTAATCTTTCTTTTTAAACTGAAAAAAAAGAATGACTGTAGAGATTTTCTTAATATATATTCATTTGGAGGTAAAACACTAGAGATCTTTAATTTGGCTTGTCAGGTAATTTTAATACTCCGGCATAATTTAGGTTCTTCTTTAGCTTCTTCAAATACTCATTTTGCTGAAACTTCTGAGGATTAAAGCTTAAAATGAGGTATTAAAATTAAAAATCACTAAGGAGAACAATATGTGGAATCCAGCCAAGGCAACTAGGTAAGAATACATAGCTTCTGCTAATTACTAAATGTTCCCATTTTTCAATCCAAAATAATGGCTGTGGTTTGAAAGACCTTTACTTGTAATTGTAACTCTAACTGTCTAATAAAACACTGACTTTGTATCCCCCCTGTTGCAAAGGTATGTCCAAGCTTCAAAAATAGGATGGGAAAGATTAAAGGTTCTTTCCAGCCCTGTGTAACCTGTGTAGCAGAAGACCAGCTCACATTTCACATGCAATAACCTGCGCATTTGCTAAAAAAAAAAGGAAAAAGAAAGAAAAAAAGGAAAAAACCTCCAAGAACAACATAGGGAAATGCCTGAGGCAGAAGTTGAAACTGATTGGGCAAAGTAGAAGGACAAGAGCCCTTGAAATTAAACAAAAGCAAATTCATTCTGTTGACAGATGTTGATTACATCAAAGCCATGAAAGAACTTTTTTTTTGTTTCTCTTTTCTTTTCCCTTTTTTGCAACTAATACCTCCACATTTCTGTACATTACGGATATAACGTATCTTAATCAACATAATCCAACACATGATAATTCTCAAATTTGGTAAAATTATATTATAAGAAGGTCTTAATGACAGGCTTCTCCAAACAAGAGTGTATTCACATGGTCATGTCTGCATACCCGTGCTGGTCACGCCATCACCAGCCCCTTACTTCCAGGGGTTAACTGCTCTGGCAGCCAAATAAAATACAGAGAGCGCTGTGTAATTATGGAGACAGTCAAAGGGCAGACTCTATTTTGAAATCTATTTGCACAGACAAGGTCTTCCAATTTCGCTTACAGGAAACAAGCTGGTAAAGGGGGTCTCCTCCTCTCCAGATGCTTTCCACACGTTTTTCCCACATCAGGAAATCGTGGACATGGACACCATGCAGGACTGTTTCCTGGATTGCAGAACTATGTCATTACAAGGAGAAGAGCAAGTCCCTGCTTGTGAGAAATATTTCCTCCTAATTGGATGTATTAGGGGAAAGCAAAACCCATCAGGACTACTGAAAATGTGACTAGCAGCAATTTGTAAACAGGACGCAGCCACAGCTGTCACGATGGTACTGGAAAAGAGAAAGCAGACATGAAAGGGTAAAAACACTCTGTTTTTAACAGCATGATTGGGGAAATGAAATATTCATCAGGATAGATGTGACTTCAGTTACAACAGCAACACACTGGTGAAAACTTCAACAGCATGCTTGTGACCCTACCCTGATAAACCGAAACACAGGCCAGTATCTTGCAAACATTATATTCTAACTGCTATGGTTTTATTTAATTTTTCTGGAAATTAATGACAGAATTTGTTTAGTTAATAGAAGCATTAATAGAACTGTTCTTGTTACTCTCCTAAGAGGCAACGAAGCACAGCAATGGTCGAACAGCGACGGACTCCGGGGGAGAAGAGTCAGCCCCTGTGCCAGCACCACTGTGACTGCCCCGTGTCACTGAAAAAGTCTGCTTTGGCCCTCAGTTATGCTCCTTGCTAATTACAATTCTGCCCTTACTTCATGCAGAGTGGAACCGGGCAATTTGTTGGCTACATGCCAATATAAATGAGTTTGTAAGTTTATAAACTATATGGAAACAGATTTTGTTTTGCTTTACCTACTATGATTTAGTCTAGACTAACAGACTAAAATGATGAATCAGTGCCTTCTGGAATAGTGCTGTGCTTCTAATTCATTATTCAGTCAAACTTGGGGCCAACAAAATAGCTGTTCTGCAAGTTGGTAAACTGGGAAACCACAGAGACTCAGAACCCCTTCTATTTACAGGAAGGATGACAGCCTAAGGGTACTTCATCCCAATAATAACAACATTCAAGTACCGGTGCCCAGGTCATGACAAGCCATGACCCTCCCCATAGCTCCTTCAGGAAGCTGGCTTGATGCCACCTTTTATCAGCAGCAACTGACAGTGCAACTTCAACAAACAAGAAGAAAAAATAAGTATTATATCCTTAAAATCTCCTCTGACCAGTTGAGCAGTTACAGAACTGCTCAACCGTATGTATGCACACAAACACACAGAGTCACACCAAGGCAGTGTAAAAAATAAATTAACTAACTGAGTAAAATTCCGGTATCATTAAACAGTACTTCTCCCTTTGATTATAGGACTTAAAAAATACAGAGTACAATCTAACTATAGCTGAGTGATATTCATTACTACAGCAAAGGAAATGAATTGTTTATTACAGAACAGGGGATCAAACTGTACAGACACAGGGAACAGAGCATCGCAGTCCTCCAGCACAGCCTTCCTTCCCACTGTTATTTCTACTACATCTTCCCTCTCTGACAGAAAAACGCAAGAAGAAAATAAAAAGACAGTGTTGTCTAAAGCAGTATCACTGCAAAATGAGATAAGTCCAGTACAAAAGCTGCACAAAGCAATATTAAGGGTTTCAATCACAGTACTATCAAGGGAATTTAGGCTCCAGATCACAGCATCTGGCAAGTTTCAACTTCTCTGACTAGCAGGAGAAACATTCCTCTTATGTTACTGCATTCCTTTATTGAGTAAATTAATTTATCATAAAATGAATAAATTAGAATGAGAAACATATCTGTTCAGGCTTCCCTATTTAAATACATTTTCCAAGCATTTTCTATTTATCTTTAGATTTTTTAAAATATCAGAGAAATTACTTTTGCTTGAAAGACTAGTTATTGGCTTCATGATTTTGATTTTGTAGGGAAGAAACAACTATTGGAACAAGTTAGTTTTAAAAATAGCACTTGTTTCAGATTAAAAAAAAATAAGCTGTTCCTTATGTACATCACAATACCAAATCCAATTGTTTATATCCACGCACCCACAGCTCTAACATTCACTGAATCCTGCTGGGTTAAAATCTTTTCAGGTGCTCTGTGAAACAACTGTTTTCCAACTGGCATGGTTATGTCCTGTGCACATGCCTGACACAATATTAAATGTGAAAAATAAATCCTGCTTTAACCTCTAAAATTTCCACTTGAAAGGAAAAAAATATGTCTGGATCACCATAAAATCCTTAAAAGGTTTTCCACCCTTTCAGTAGGCAAGCAACATTGCTGAAGTAAGAGTAATCTTTGCATAGGAAATTTAGGAATGCTCCTGTACATTGTATCAGCACATTCTGTGTAGCTTGACACAAGGGAAGAGAACAGGCAGTCAGTCCTTTTCCTGCAGTATTTTCCATGCATCTACAGCCAAATCTCTAAGGACACAAGATGATTTCTGAATCATAGGTCAGTCTTATCTCAAAATTAAGGAAAAAAGTCCACGTGGCCAACAACTTTGGGATGAATACCTTAATAAAATAAGATTACATTACTACTCATTTGGTAAAATTGACAACTAGTAGTATTTCTTGCCTTGTGTTAAAAGTTGTTAATTACGTGTATTGTCCTGTTTTCACCTGAAAACACAAGTTCTGTTAGGACAGTAAGTGTTTACTGAGAAAACAAGTGTGCATCCTTTGCTAGAGTGATGAGTCTAAGGCTGGGGAATTACATCCTGTAATCCAGATTTCAAAATACAGGAGCACAGAGGTCTGAGAGCTCACAGCTTTTTCTGCTAAACTGCTGTGGCGGTGGTAGAAATAAGCTCTTATTTTTATTTCAAGAAAATGCTCTGCACAAGAAGATGTCTAATCAAGAGCTTGCTGCAGATAACTTGTAGCATCCTGATTAAAACATTTATTTTTAAACCCGTCAGTCATTACCATGTGCTATTTATGCGTAACTTGGAAGCTTATTCATAAATATGTGACATTTGGGTCACTGAGTGAATTATAATGATAGAATTATGGATCAAATTTGGAAGAGTAGAGTATAATGTTTGGGAGATGTTTTAAATGTTTTTAAACACCTTTCACTTATCTCCTTGCTTAACATTTACAAAGACCTCTTTTTAGCATAAAAATCTGTTTCTCAAACAGTGATACAGGAAGAAGTTGTTTACATTTTCAGAAGTACCAACATACATCACTTATGACAAAAAAACCAAGCACTCCATAAGAAATGCTCAATCACTGTCAATCATACACACTAAAATATACATAAACCAAAGCATGTGGTATGAACTGTATTAGATTCAAACTGAACAGAGAATTACAACTATAACAAACAAAACCCAAATAATTACTAGTGACTCACAGGCCTATTTACACATCTCACCAAACTATTGGAAAGGTAGGTAACCATAGAAACCTGTCAGCCTAAATTCAGCACTTTAAAATTTGTATTTAGTTTAAAATGCTGACAATTCTGTTTCTATTTGACAAAATTCATATTTTTAAAGGCTTCAGTTTTTGCTTTGGTGCTTAAATAAATGCCTAAAATTATTTCATTTACTGGTTACTGATAATTTGCCTTTTATATTTGATTTTACCTGAGCAAAAATTGCAGTTTACTCTCAGTAATACAAAATGTTAATATATTTTAGTATCACAAATTAATTTCTAACATTTCTTTAATGACTGAAATTAAATAACAAGATAATATTCTGCACTTACTATGAAATGTTTTGTCCATGGACTTTTTTAAGCTGCACACCAGCAGAAAAAAGAAATTACTGAAATTAACTGTTAAAACTGAAATGCTAATAGCCTTTTCAACTTATACTTCTTTTTCACTGACAATTGCAATTTGCATGGCTTAAAATTTAATACTATCATTAGTACTAATGTCCTATATTTTACTTCATAATCTAAATGAGTAAAATATTATTTTTGTAGTTCACTGGCTCTTATACTTAGGCTGTAACGTTCAGTGTGTATTTCATTATGTAGATGAGCAATGGAAGTTGTCTAACATGATTTAAATGGGTCAACAGTATTTTCCTATTCACATTAATCATCTAGACAGCCTCACACAAAAAAAAATAGCCTTGAAAACTAACCTAGGAAATCCCTTTTTATCAGAGACTCTTCCCAGCGCTCCACCAGCAGCGAGCAAAGCTCCGGAGAAGGAGCCCCGGGAAGGGCGGCCGGGGCCGGGCCCCGCTCCCCTGGGCGCGCTCGGCTCCCGGCGCTGCCCGCGGCCCCGTGCCAAGAATGATTCTCGTCCCGCCGCGTTCAATGGGAGCTGTGTGTTGACAAACTGAGCAAATCTGAATCGGCAAAATTCATTCTTGGCACGGGCACACACAACTGTGCTGAAAGCAAAGGCGCGCTGCCCGCTCCCTGCACTGGCAGCCGGCTCCTCCTGGCGTAAACACACTTGTCAGGGCTCCGCTGGAGTCAAAGGACACAGGATGAGGCCGTTCATTGCCAATTGTTTATAAAACACACCAAAATTAAGGGTTCTATTCTCAAGCCATGTAACCACCATCTACGGCCCACTTCATATATGGCATATGGCAAATAAAATGGCAATTTATAATTAACATGGCCCTTGTGTAGAAAGGAAAGCTATTCTAATAGATGATAAAGGGGAAGAACATAAGTATAAAACAGGCAGAAAGTAAAAGAATTATTGTGTACTAAACATTTAGACTAATTTATTTTAAAAAAACAAACAAACCTCAAACCAAAAACAAATGAACAAACCCCCAAAACAAACAAAAAGAAAAACAAAACCAAAACCCTCATTTCTGATCTATCTTCACCAGGTTATTCACTCACTTTGTATGGTTTATTGGACTATTCTACTGTCTGATTTTCTAAGCTAGACAGAGTAAGCAAGGAGTCTTCGCAAGAATTCAGCTCTCAAACTCCTTTTTCTAGACTGAAAAGGGTTTACACAGTCTTTTCTGCACAGACAGTAAATCCATAATAAGTGTTTTGCTCTCCACAAGATAAAGATAATCTAACTTGCCAGCAAAATATGACAGGCAATTCTCCTGAGCATGTTTAACTACCTTGTGTGCAAATCTGGGCAGTAATCTATGAAATTCTCTATAGGGACATCCACTTAATCAATTACTAATCTGTAAACTCAACTCAGAACTTCTGGATTCAGTGAATTACATGCTAAAAATCCCGCTGCATACTTTTTTCACATGGAAAATGTGAAGCCTATCTCAATCTATACTCATGGCCTATTGAAAAGTGATGTCACTGTGAATTTGAGTCTTACAGCCCTGGCCACAATTTCATAAATGTCAAGGCTGCAGATCTGTATTCGGTAGGCAAAGAGCTGCAGTGAAGCTGATTCTGCAGTGGCTGCTCCCCTGGCAATGGCACGGTCCTTGGAAGCGCTGTGCCCATGCCTGGGCCATGCCTGCTCCTCTTGCAGTGGCTGCCAGTCCATTGTCACCCGTGTCACACTGCAGGAGACATGACAGAACTGCTGCCTTTCCCCAGACACTGCAGCAGATTCTTTTCATCAGGCTGAATTTCCAGCTGCCAACACCCCACCAACCTGTTTGCAACACCCGTCTGGATTCCACAGCTGGGGATCCTGCTGCAGCAAGCTCTGCCAAAGTCTTTCCATCAGCTACCTCACTCCATACCTGATTTTGTGAAGCAGCTTTTAGAGAAGAGTTATTTGGACAAAACAACCTCCAAATGAACAAAAACAAGACTGCCTTTATCAAGGAGATTTTAGAAACAGCCACTTCAGAGCAATCTTTGGTTTGCTCTGCAATTACATTCTTGCCAGAAAACATGTATTAGTTAAGGAGAGTACTCTACAACTCAAAACTCTTAGACAACATAATGGTACTACTCAGAGAGCTGCTGGGACAGTTATACCAGTAAAATAATTCTTGCTGGTACAACTTGATCTTTTGGAGCAAGCTTTGATTTATGCTTTCCCAGAAGAGAACTATTCTCATGAGATGAGCCTCTGCTGATTTAGCAGGGTGTGTTAGAGCATGAATAATTTTTTATAAACCCAGACAAGACCCGCTACTGTATTTACTTCTTTAAAGAACACCCATTTCTACCATGACTCACAGAATTCTGTCAATAATAATAATAATAATAATAATCAGTGCAGAACAACCAGAAATGGCTTGGAGAGGTCAGACCTGCCTAGCCACCTCAGAGGAGCTAGTTCAAAAAGGACATGGCAACGACATTAAGCCTTGTCATCACCTACCATTTCATGCACAAGGCACGAGTGTGATTTGATGCTCAGATCTGCACAAATGACCATGGGCAACACCTCCCCTCAGTGTCAGCCCAGCATGTCTTTGTGAGACATCCATCCACTTTGTCCAGTGGAAAAGGACTCAACTCAGCAGCACTGGATGAGGTTACAAGCACACTCAAGAGCAGAGAAGTCAAGCAGAATACAAGCAGATCTGCAGTGACTGCACCATTTCTTACACAAAGCATGTCCACTTTACATGGAGGGAAGCTAGGAGTTTACTGTTGCTTCTGCCCAACTCCACCTGTGTCTATCAGTAAATGTGAGACTTCCAGAACAGCTGGAATTTATATAAGAAACAAACTTGCCATTTTCTTTCAATGTTATGCCACATTTGTTGACTTTCTTTTTAAAAAAAATGCATAAGGATTGCAGGATGCAATGTAAATTTATGTACAAGAAAGCATGAAACAGATAATCTGAGAAGTGTACAAATTTCTACACAGAACATCTGATTTGCTGTAAGTAATAATGTATACATTCAGACTGTGTTATTACTGCAAGAGCTCTTTATGGTTCAAAATAAGCTTGATCTAAAATGGAACATAACTTTAAACAGGTTTTAACAATGAATACCTGAACATAAACATATTTAAAATGTGAAAGCTGGAGACTTTATAGAGCTGGTTAGAGTGGCTGGTTATTTATAATCTAAACTCAACAGAACAGTGTGACTTTCAAAAACACCCAGGGAAGTTTTCTCAGGCTGCACAGTGGAGACTATGTCTGCCAAAAGACCTCCAAGGAGCTCTGAAGAGCTCCTTATTCTTCCTCCTAAGGCTTGCATGCATCAGAGCAGCCTGTTAAACACTTGGGTTTTAACATTCTCCTTTTTCTTCAGAAATTATGAAGGGAAAGACATTACTGATTTGGAAAGGACATATTCTTCAAAAGAACAATGAACAAACTTTCCATACCTTGTTTCAAGTCATACAAAGAGGGTAAAAAATGATCAACTGAGAAGAAACCCTTATTACACAACAACACAATTTTAATGTTTTGAAACAGTTCCTCTAAAAAAATCTTCTAGAGTCTGTTTTCACCCTAGATAACACTAAAGGCCAGTGGTGTGATCTGAACTGGTGAACACCAAATATTACTTTTCTTAAATGGAAACTAGAACTTGGCTTCATACAGTGCCTTCATACTTAGTGTGTTATAAATTACTTAAATACTGGCAGGCAAACAGCCATTATGCGCTCAAGAGCTCATACGTTACAATACTCAGCATTTTGATAGAGCTTTTCATCTTCAGAGTGCTTTACAAACAACTCATTAATCCCAACCAATGCACCTGCAAGGCAGATAAATATCTGCATTGTAGGTGGAGAAAGACACAGAAAGTTCACTGACTCCTGCACAGCCATGCTCACTAGCAGCCCCAAACATCCGCAGCTCCTGGCTCCTGGGGCAGTGCAGGACCTGAGCCCCACTTGCGTTGAGCTCATTCCTTCTCCTGAGCCACAGAGCTGCAGGAGAACGTCTTCTACTGCCAGGCACTGGCAGAGTGCTGGCCTGGCTGGAGACCCCCCCTTTCCCAAAGCTGCTAAGTTCCCAAGCACTGCAAGCTCCCACCAGGATCACCAACCCCAGGAAGTAGGAAGTCCATGAGACACTAAAGTGAGACTCACAATATAGACTCTCAAGCTGATTCACCATCAAGCAGTGATCTGGAAAAGCCTCTGTGCCTGCAGAAGCCTTTGCCTCTCCCTGTTTATTTCTAGCTGCTGCACAGACTCCAGGGCAGCAGATTCCTACAAGTCAGACAACAGAACCCTGAAATCTCTGGCCTCTGAGTACTGCCACAATTCAAGAAAACAGCTTCACTCCTCTTTTAATAGTTAGTTCTCTAACTATTAAAAACTTGTAATGAAATTTTGCCTTCGAGAATTGTAATTCTCTTCCCTGTTGGTGACTGGAAAAAAAAAAAGAACCTGATTGCACTGCATATTGTACTTTTAACTTTCTGAGTTCTAAAAGTATCAGATATGATTTTTCTTAAACCTCAGAAATACCAGGAATGTCAAATCTGGAGCAGATAAGAAATGTGGAAAGTGTGAACAATACAATACACATACTGTGCTACAACAGACTTTATATTCCCTTACACAGAGAAAATTAATAATGGCCTTTTAGCAATAACATATTTATTTCTGATGTTTATTAGTCACTAGATTTAAATATATAAATCTGACAATCCTTATCGGTTCATTCTTCACATTTGTGAGCCCAGGGCTTAGCAAGTTCTCCAGCCACTGCAGT